CTATGAGATGGATTGATTCGGTGACTGGGATAATCGGGATGGGTGTGTCAGAGGCGGTGCGGTTGGCGCAGGACAGAGCAGGGTTTAGGGCTGTTGTGCATAGGGTCTCTATGAGTCGAAAACGACTCAACGGCACATAACAACAACAACAACAACAACAACAATGGACTGCTAAGAAGATCAGATTCATCCTGGAGAGGGTTAAACTGAGCTGCTCCTTGGAGGCAAGAATTCTGGGGCTTTGCTGACGTACTTCGGACATGTTGTAAGGAGGGACCGCTCCTTGGAGAGGGACATCATGCTTAGGAGGGTAGAGGGACAGCGCAGGAGGGGAAGACCCTCTATGAGGTGGATTGATTCAGTGACTGGGGTGATTGGGATGGGTGTGTCGGAGGCACAGGACAGAGCAGGGTTAGGGCTGTTGTACATAGGGTCGCTATGAGTTGCAAGCGACTCGACAGCACATAACAACGACAGTATAAAATACAAATTAAAAAAATAAAGATGGTGTTTGCCAGGACCTTTTTCAGTGAACCATGTCTCTGCTGAATTCTTATTCTTAAAATGTATTTTTTAAGGCTGAGAATTTGAATAACTTTTGAACTGGAGATTAAAAGTTACTGAGGAACACCATGAAAGAGGAGAATCTCCTTTTGTGAGGTTTTTTATTGGTTTGCTTAAAAAGTTGTATACATTGTGTTTCACACTGTTTTTCATTCACATTGTGTTTAATGGGTTAGTTACATGTGAAAGGATCCTTTTAGCACTAACAGTGGATTCATCCTTGTTCCTAAGGCAAATGTTGAGGAGGAGAATGCTAGGCTTATGATGTTTTCCAAGTTTTTTCTGGTATTGCTGAGGATATGAATATTGGTACAGATGTGGTACATGAAGGAACCGGTTCATTCATTCATTCATTCTGTTTGCAGAGACAAAAGAAGAACAAGGAGGACTTATCCTAGTTACTGTCATGGAGCAAGTGTCATCAACAGGCAGACCTGTGCTGATCACTGTAACAGATGGATACGACTTGGTAAAGTTCTCTTGGAAAATCCACCAAGCCCCTAGTTTGTTAATTCTTCTTAAAAGTGGGACTTTTTTTTAGAGCTCTGGTCTTCCTTCAGAATGCATCTACCAACAGATAGAGAATGACTAGTGAGGAGCATCAGTGAGACAAACTGTTTTGTATAATCTCTCTTCAAACCTCCTAGATATCTATAGTAGTAATACTTTCCATTATTGTTAGTCTGTGATCAGAAAGCTTGTGTGGTTTTTCCTATTAATATACCTAGCCATTTGAATACCAAATTTAACAGGGAGGAAATAAGACATACTTTTAATTTTCCTAGAAATTTATATATGTTGTTGATTTTTCCTCTCCTGAAAAGGAGGTGAAATTTCCTAGTATTCATTTGATGGATTTAAATAATTTAACTATAGTGTGTTTGGGTACATGTCCAGGAGGGATGGTCCTAGGAGAAGGACATCATGTTTGGAAGAGTAGAGGAACAGCACAGGAGAGGAAGATCCCGAATGATATGGATTGACACAGTAACTAGGATACTGGGGGTAGGTGTGTTGGAGTCAGTGAGACTGGGTCAGGACAGGACAGGCTTCAGAGCTGTTATACATAGGGTCGCTATGAGTCGCAGGTGACTCATTGGCACATAACAACAACATGATTTAGTAAAAGAATACTATAGGAGAACATAAAATGATAAAATATTTAGTATTATGAAGTGAAAAATAGTTTATTTTAAAATGATAATGAAAGATTCCCACTTTGTTAAAATGTGTTTGTGTGTATATATATGTTTGTATGTATGTCTCAGCAAAATACTAGAAAATAGATTTGAAACTCTTGATAGGCCTTACATATTAGAGTGAGATTAGAAATAATTTCTTGTCTATGTGAGAAAGCTCAATTTTTCAGTCTTCCACAATCTACTTCTGTAATTAGTTAAGATAGAAGTATTTTTTAAAAAGTCCACATGGCATTGAAATAGGATATTGCACTTACTTACAACTAGAATTTTTTAATGACTTTGTACTCACCCTTTTTATAATGTAACTTGCTAGCAAACATGGAAAACCCTGTTTAGCCTAAGTCAAAGGACACTAGCAAATATTTAAGACAGTTCTCTATTTGAGTGTAATTGTAAAGTGGATTATTTCTGTCAACAGAAAGGTTTTAAAGGAGATACTCCAGTTACCTTTATTCATGCAGAATTCAATCAAATGGTTTTGGGAGACTCGGCCAAAATTACTGTTTCTTCAGAGGGAACTGCAAAATACAACTTCACCAGCAGTTTTGAATTCAATCCTGAAGGAGGAGCCACTTTAGATGACATCGCTCACAAACCTGTGTTATGTAAGTTCTTAAGTAAAAAAAAAAAAAAGACAAATCTTAATCCCATAAATATGTCACAAGGACATCCTTAGGTCTTTAGAAGCCACAGCTGAGACACTTGAACACACTCTACCTCCTTAATCTACTAATAACCTAGTGTACTTTGTCTCCTACCTGCTCTGGCAGCATTCACTATGGCCTGCTGTTGTTGTTATGTGCTGTCGAGTTGCTTGTGACTTATATAGCGATCTGATGTACAGCAGTCCTAAATCCTGCTCTATCCTGTGCCAATCTTATTGTCTCTGATACACCTACCCCCATTACCCCAGTCACTGAATCAATCCATCTCATTGAGGGTCTTCCCCTCCTGCGCTGTCCCTCCACCCTCCCAAGTATGATGTCCCTGTTCAAAAACTGTTCTCTCCTTCCAACATGTCCAAAGTATGTCAGACGAAGCTTCAGAATCCTTGCCTCCAAGGAGCAGCCTTGCTTCATCCTCTTTAGGACGAACTTGTTTGTTCTCTTAGCAGTCCATGGTATATTTAATACTCTTCTCCAACACCACAGCTCAAATGCATGAATTCTCCATCTATCATTTCTAGTACTTCAGTGTAGAGCTTCAATCCTTACTGAAGGCTACAGTCCTTGACCTTCTGCAGCAAGTCCTTCAGGTTCTCCTCAGTTTCAGCAAGCAGGGTTGTGTCATCTGCATAATGCAGATTGTTGATTGAGTCTTCCTCCAGTCCTGATGCCACATTTCTCCTCACAGAGCCCAGCCTCCCAGATAATCTGTTTGGCATATAGATGGAAAAGGTATGGAGATAGGATACATCCCTGACGTACACCCTTCCCAATTTTGAACAATGCAGTGTTTCCTTGCTCTGTTCTGATGACTGCCTCCTGGTCCAAGTATAGATTTTGCATAAGGCCAATCAAGTGTTCTGGTATTCCCATTCTTTTCAGAGTCAGCCACAGTTGTGATCTACACAGTCAAATGCCTTTGCATAGTTAATGAAACACAGATATTCCTCTGGTAATCTCTGCTTTCAGCCAAGATGCATCTGACATTAGCTATAATATCCCTTGTACCACAGCCTCTTCTAAACCCTGCCTGCACTTCTGGCAGTTCTGTTGATGTTCTGTTCAGTCGTTTTTGGATAATCTTCAGTAGAATATTGCTTGCATGTGATATTAATGATACTGTTTGATAATTTCCACACTTTTGATGGGTCACCTTTTTTTGGAATGGGAACAAACATGGATCTCTTCCAGTCAGTTAGCCAGGTGGTTGTCCTCTAGATTTCTAGTCACAACTTGGTGAACACATCCAGGGCAGCATCTGTTTGTTGAAATATGTCAATTCGTATGCCAATCATTATGGCCTATTAATGTTATTTTCTCCCCGTGATTTGCATTTTAACATAATTTAAAATAAAAAATAGAGAAAACATATTAAGCTTAGTAATATAACCTGTATAGTAAAATTATAAAAAAGAAAGAGAATGATAAACACAAAATTCAAGATAGTGGTGTCTTTATATTAGTGGGATGTAGATCAAATGAGGAATAGTTTTCCAGTAGTTTAAGCTATATTGATAATATTTTATTTATTTTAATTGTTGTAAAGTATATCCGGTGATATAAAAGGTTTGTCTACTAATTTTAATCACTTTGTATCAAAGACCTTTCCACATTGACTGAATTTTTTCATTTATATCCTCTCAAGTCAAATTAGTAATTTCCTTGTTATTCCCAATCTCACAGTAGTTAAAATAGCTTGATTTAACTCTCATTTCCTCCCCCAAGATAGCATTTGGGACATGCTTATGCTAAAAAATATTTCCTTGTTTATTTAGGTTCAAATTAAATTCATTCACTCTTTCATTGCTGCCTCACAGCTGAACCTCCAAAGGATTTCTGAAGTTGTAAATCACAGGGGAGGAGATTGCCCTTCAAACTGCCACAGAGAGCTGTGGCCTTTGGTTTAGCAGTGGAGCTTTCTACAGACTCCGCTACCCGAGATCTCTTCAGATTTAACTGGCATCCTGCATTTTATCTGTCAGCCTTGCCTGCATAGCTGTATACTCACCACAGTACAGTTGTTGTTAGGTGAAGTCAAGTTGACTGACTACAGCAGTGTTGTCAACAACAGATCAGTGGCCCAATCCTGCACCTTCCTTACAATCTCCACCATGGTCCAGGCCATGAGAATATATTTCAGGGGAATCAATTTACCTGCATCCTTTGATAGAGGAGGAACTTCTTGAAATTAGTGCTTTTTAAATGTGGTTATTTTTTTTTCTTAAAAAAACCCAAATTTTATTTGTAATATTTATATATTTCTAAAAAGTTGGAGATATATGCAAATAACTTTTTCATTGGAATCATTTGAGAGTAATTATCAATGTGATGTCCTAAAATACCTCTACCAGTATTTTAGTGGGTATTTTCTACAAGCAATGAAATCCATCAACACAGCTACATACAATCATCAAGATCAGAAAATTAACATTTCTACTTCAAGTATCACCTCCTAATCTTTGTTATTGTTGGTAGGTGTCTTTTAGTTGATTTTGATTCATAACAACATCATGTGTCATAGTAGATCTGCCCCATAGGATTTTTTTTTAATTTTTAAAAATAATTTTAATGAACATTTACAGAGAATTTGGATTTCCATTCATTCATTGCTGCACTTCTCTACCCACAGGAAATGTGGTTATTTTTTTAAAAATTATATTGATTTTCTTATGAAGTTCATATACATTTGGTTTTGGTGTGGGTTTGTTTTTTTTTAGATTTTAATGAAAGTGTATAAAGAACTTGGATTTTCATTCTATTCATTGTTGCACATTTTCCTCCCTGTCACTCCCCTTCCCCCAAGTTCTTTCTTTGTTATGTAGTCCCCTCCCCAGACCACTTTACTATGTAACTCTTTCTTATTCTGGACTCTCGTCATGCCAATAATATCTAATCATATATTCCTTTTATACAGTTCTCTCCCTCATCTGTTTCAATGCCGTGTACTTTATTTATCCCCTCTTTTCTTAGTTTCTCCCCCTCCAACTCTCATATCAGACCTGTTCTATAGCAGTGGCATTATCCAGTATTTGTCCTATTGTGACTGAGATATTTCACCCAGCATAATGTCCTCCATGGTCTCCCATTTTGTATAATATTTCATGAGTTCTTTGTTTTTCAGCACTGCATAACATTCCATTGTGTGAATATACCAGAGCTCCTTTATCCATTTGTTTGGTGATGGGCACTTGGGTTGTTTCCAACTTTTTGCTATTGTGAACAAAGCAGCAATAAACATGGGTGTGCATATATCTGCTTGGGTGGCAGTTCTGGTTTCTTTAGGATATATTCCCAGTAGTGAAATTGCTGGGTCAAAATGGTGTTTCAATTTGCAACTTTTTGAGAAAGCACCATACTGCCTTCCATAGTAGTTGCATCATTTTACACTCACATCAACAGTGACCTCACCAGCATTTGTTGTTTGCTGCTCTGTTAAATTTTACTATACTTCCTGGGGTGAGATGATAACTCATGTTTTTTTGATTTGCATCTCTCTTAGAGCTAGAGATTTTGAACATTTCTTCAGGTGTTTGTTTGCCATCTGAATGTTGTCTTTGGGGAATTGTCTGTTCATATCCTGTGCCCATTTTCCAATTGGGTTATTTACCTTTATCTTGTTGTGATGCTCAAGTATTTTAAAATTCTAGATATAAGTCTCTTATCTGACATGTTGTTACCAAATACTTTTTCCCCAATCTGTGGCTTTCCTTTTTTACCCTGTTGGAGAAGTTTTTGGATGTACATAGGTATTTGATTCTTAGAAGGTCCTTAGAAGGTACTTCAGAAATCCTTTGGAGGTTCATCTATTTTATCCTCTCCTGGTTGTAAATTTTTTTCAGGATGCTTGGAAGACTGTTTATGTTGTGGATTAGAACTTCTAGAGTTCGCTCAAGCTTTTCTTTAATGAAGTTTCTAGATAGTCCTTGGTTTTAGTCCTTGGTCCTTGATCCACTTTGAGTTTGTTTTTGTGTATGGAGTGAGGTGTGAATCTTGCTTGAGTTTTCTACAGATAGTTTGCCAATTTTGCCAGCACCATTTGTTAGAAAGGCTGTCATTTCCCCACTTAACTGATTTCATCTCCTTGTAAAAAATCAGTTGACCATAGCTAGATGGGATGATTTCTGGGTTCTCAACTCTATTCCATTGATCTATGTGTCTGTCATTGTACTGGTACCACACGGTCTTGACCACCCATGTAATAGGATTTGAAATCAGGGAGCGAGATGCCTCCTACCTTGTTTCTCTTTTTAAGAAGTGCTTTGATTAATTGGGGCCTCTTTACATATCAAATGAAGTTGGAGATTGCCTTTTACATCTCGTTGAAGAATGTAATTGGTATTTGTATTGGTGTCAGTTTAGATAGGTTGTGAATTTCTAAGTATTTGTCCATTTACTCTAGGTTTTCCTATTTGTTTGAGTATAGTTTTTCCAGAAAATCCCATTGTTGGTCTTTTTATTTTACTTGTTTCTGTTGTGATGTTGCCCATTTCATCTTTTATTCAGATTATTTGTGTCTTTTACTTTGTTAGTTTTGCTAGTGGTTTGTCAATTTTATTGACCTTTTCAAAGAACCAACTCCTAGTTTTATTGATGGTTTCAATTGTTTTTCTGTTTAATATTTCATTTCTTTCTGCTTTGATTATTATAATTTCAGTTTTTTTAAGAGAGAGTTGGGTTTTCTTGCTGTTCTTTTCAATTTGTTGGAGTTGTTCTGTTAGCCAGCCAATGGTCATTTTTTCCTGCCTTTTGATGTGTTTTTTTATTACTATACATTGATCCATGAGTACTGCTTTGGCTGTTTCCCAGAGGTTTTGGTAAGTTGTGTTTTCATTGTCATTTATTTCAAGAAGTTCTTTTAATGTCATTTTTTTATTTCTTCTTGTACCCACTCATGTTCAAGGAAGGTGTTGTTCAACTTCCAAATGTGTTTTTTTCTCTTC